GTCCTGTAATTTACTGCACTTTCTGCTAGGTTGGTGAAATCTCTCCGTTGCGAAAAAAAAACAAATTTCCCAAGAAAGGTGAATGGGATTTAACCCGATTTAAAACTTTCAAGAGTTGATTGGTTCGCAGCAGAAGTATTTCTCTTAATCCTAATCTAATGACATCATTTCCAATTTGTCTGCCCATTGAGATTTCTGAGGAACGTTGACGGCACTTAGGGAATTATGGGAATGCTCAATCCCTCTTTTTAATTTTCTTCGATATCTCAGCCAGTTTTGTTCAAATTCAACCCTTTTGCCAATCACATCAACGAATGGTTACTAAGTCACAGTTCAAGGATCATATCAGTAGATGAATATTATGTTTAAAGATGTTTAAACCATTTTTCTGAATTGTGGAAAACGGACCAGGTATCCGCACCATAGGGAGACTTGATCCCTTATATTTCACTTGATTTTTGCACAGCAATAGTTTCATAGCAGTAATTTTATGCTTTAAAAAAAAGTTGAAAACTGGATCTAACCACCTAGGGTGATATTTGACCCTGCCTATATTACTTCCAAAAATCCATCATTTGACAGCAAATTCCACAACAATGAAAAATAGCATTTTTGTGCATTCCCCTTTTTGCAGTCATAATGGGTGCCTTGGACCACAATGGCATAATCTAAGTTTGTTCTGAAAGTCCCGAGTTATGGCTTTGATTCAAGTCTCCCTACCTAGGTCGTAGCAAGTCTCCCCACTAGGTGAATTTTGACATAGGACTACGTCTTTAATTTCTATACTGGGGTACACTTTGTGAAAACCGAAAATGGACCATGAAACAAAATTATGAAAGATTTTGAACATTAATAACTCAGCTGCCCCTGGATATATTTCAATAATTTTATCACCAATCGATCAGAAATATGTCTACGCATCAAAAATAAATACTTTCAACTGATGATTTTCAACAAGGAACTATTGAAAAAGTGTAATGTCAAGCATTATCTAAAGTACAAATAAAAAGTTATAATTTTTTCACTGTTTCAAATCAAAAACGGAAAGAGTTAAGATAATAGATGATCGATCAATTAAAAGAACTAGATTTTCTTCACATTTGTTCCGTGCCCTAGCGGTCCTACGTCAAGCTCCCGTTCAGACCCTTCTCCTTTTTTTCTTTTGAATTCTATAAAATTAAATATTTAATTAATTCATGATTACCTGTTGGAAGGTATGATATTAACCATACGTAAAGCATTTTTGACATTGATAGACCGAACATTTTTCCACGAGACTCGAAAAGCCTTTAACCCGTTAAAACAACGAATAGTTTTTTTGTAAACAAAGTAAAGATATTTCAGATATATTCTTATTGAAATAATGAATAGTAAGTGTAGAATACATAACACATCGAGCGCATCATCATGAAAATAATTGCCACGGACCATGTCTCCGACACACAGACACAATCAGGCTAAGGCCTTGTTGTCCTCTGCTGTCCGAAGAAGTCGTCTCCACTCTACTCGATCCATGGCCACAGTTCGCCAGCCTCGTAGTCTGCGAAGGGTCCGCAGGTCACCTTCTACTTGGTCGATCCACCTTGCCCGCTGCGCGCCTCTTCTTCTTGTTCCTGTTGGGTCGCTTTCTAGAACCATTTTCACTGGGTCGTCGTGCGGCATTCTTACGACGTGCCCAGCCCACCGTAGTCGCCCAATTTTTGCAATGTGGACGATGGATGGTTCTCCCAGCAGCTGGTGCAATTCATGGTTCATTCGCCTCCTCCACGTTCCGTCATCCATCTGCACTCCACCGTAGATGGTACGCAACACCTTCCGTTCGAAAACACCAAGGGCGCGTTGGTCCTCCACGAGCATAGTCCAGGTCTCGTGGCCGTAAAGGACCACCGGTCTAATCAGCGTCTTGTAGACAGTCAACTTCGTGCGGCGGCGAATTTTATTCGACCGGAGCGTCCTCCGGAGTCCAAAGTAGGCACGATTCCCTGCCATAATGCGTCTTTGAATTTCTCTGCTGGTATCATTTTCGGCGGTCACCAGTGAGCCCAAATACACGAACTCATCGACCACCTCGATTTCGTCACCGTCAATCTGAACTCGGGGTGGGAGGCTAACATTGTCTTCCCTAGAACCTCTTGCTTTCATATATTTTGTCTTTGATGCGTTGATGGCAAGTCCAATCCGTCTAGCTTCAGCCTTCAGTCTGATGTACGTTTCCGCCATCATCTCAAAGTTCCGTGCCATAATGTCAATGTCATCGGCGAAACCAAGGAGCTGGATGGACTTCCTGAATATCGTGCCACTCGTGTCTATCCCAGCTCTTCTGATCACACCTTCTAACGCGATGTTGAACAGCAGACACGAAAGTCCATCACCCTGCCGTAACCCCCTTCGAGATTCAAAGGGACTCGAGAGTGTCCCCGATACTCGAACAACGCACGTCACTCGATCCATCGTCGCCTTGACCAATCGCGTCAGTTTATCCGGAAATCCGTACTCGTGCATAATCTGCCATAGCTGATCTCGATCGATTGTGTCGTATGCGGATTTGAAATCGATGAACAAATGATGTGTGGGCACGTTGTATTCGCGGCATTTCTGCAGAACCTGCCGAATCGCGAAAATTTGGTCCGTGGTAGCGCGGGCACCCATGAATCCCGCCTGGTATTGCCCCACGAACTCTCTTGCATATGGTGACAGACGGCGGCATAGAATTTGGGAGAGTACCTTGTAGGCGGCGCTCAGCAGTGTGATCGCGCGGTAGTTGCAGCAATCCAACTTGTCGCCCTTTTTGTAGATTGGGCATACGACACCTTCCATCCACTCCTCCGGTAATATCTCCTCCTCCCAAATCTTGGCAATTACCCAGTGCAGCGCTCTAGCCAGTGCTTCACCACCGTATTTCAATAGCTCACTTGGTAGTGGATCTACACCAGTTGCTTTGTTGTTCTTCAGCCGACCGATCTCCTCCTCAACTTCTTGAAGATCAGGGGCCGGTAGCCTGTCGTCTTCTGCGCGTGCTCCAAGGTCTGTTGCCGTGCCACCTTCGTTTTCTGCTGCTTCACCGTTGAGGTGCTCGTCATAGTACTGCTTCCACCTCTCAATCACCTCACACTCGTTCGTGAGAAGGTTACCGTCCTTGCACATATCGGCTTGCGGCACGTAGCCTTTGCGCGAACTATTTAGCTTCTCGTAGAACTTCCGTGTGTCGTTTACGCGGTACAGATTTTCCATCGCCTCGCGATCTCGATCTTCCTGCTGACGCTTCTTCCTTCGGAAAACCGAGTTTTGTCTGTTCCGCGCTTGTCTGTATCGCTCCACATTCAATCTCGTGCGGTGTTGCAGCATTCTCGCCCGTGCTGCATTCTTCTCCTCTACTAACAGTTTGCATTCGCCGTCAAACCAGTCATTTCTTCGGTCCGGGATTGCAGTACCTAGTGCCGCTACAGCAGTACTACCTATGGCTGAACGGATGTCCCTCCAGCCATCTTCAAGAGAAGCTGCGCCAAGCTGCGCCAAGCTGCTCTTCCGTGGGTAGTGCAACTTCCAGCTGCTGCGCGTAGTCCTGGGCAACTCCGGTGTCCCGTAGTTGCTCAATGTTGGGTCGTGGCGTTCGACTTCGACGTGTGTTATGCACCGTCGAGAGTTTTGAGCGCATGCATACTGCAACTAGGTAGTGGTCCGAATCTATGTTCGCACTGCGGTACGTGCGGACGTTGATAATGTCGGAGAAGAATTTCCCGTCGATTAGAACGTGATCGATTTGGTTTTCTGTGTGTTGGTCAGGTGATCTCCAGGTGGCTTTGTGGATATCCTTGCGGGGGAAAAAGGTACTTCGAACTACCATACCCCGGGAGGCTGCAAAGTTCACGCATCGTTGGCCGTTGTCGTTCGATACGGCATGCAGGCTGTTTGGCCCGATTGCCGGTCTATACATTGCCTCCCGTCCTACCTGAGCGTTCATGTCGCCGATGACGATTTTGACGTCCCGTTGCGAACAGCCGTCGTACACCTGCTCCAGCTGCGCATAGAACGCTTCTTTCTCGTCGTCGGGTCTCCCTTCGTGTGGGCAGTGCACGTTGATGATGCTGTAGTTGAAGAAACGGCCCTTAATCCTCAACTTGCACATCCTCGCGTTGATCGGCTGCCAACCAATCACGCGTTGGCGCATCTTACCCAGCACTACAAAGCCGGTTCCCAGCTCGTTGGTGGTGCCACAGCTCTGGTAGAAAGTAGCCGCTCGATGCCCGCTTTTCCATACCTTTTGTCCCGTCCAGCAAAGTTCCTGCAGTGCTACGACTTCGAAGTTGCGTGGTTGAAGTTCGTCATAGATTAACCTATCGCAACCCGGGAAGCCGAGCGATTTGCAGTTCCATGTTCCGAGTTTCCAATCGTAGTCCTTATTTCGTCGCGTAGGTCTGTGCCGATTGTTCCGATCCGTATTTCTTTCTTCGGTATTTGCAACTTTGTTTTTTTTTCCAGGGCGGCTTGTTGGGCCTGCCCCAACCCCCTGTCTCGCCGGGGGACCATCGTGCACAGCTCTGTTTAGAGTCCCACGCTGGCACTAGGACGGTGATCAGCCGCTCCTAACATGGAGAACAGACGCCGTTTTGAGCCGCACCTCCATGGTGAGTAGACGCTCAGGTTTGGTGAAGCATTTCCTCTATCACCGTACTATGGTTACCACGCCAGTGTTCGCGTCGCACCTCTTCACTTTGCTATTGCCGGACTGGCAACATTGCCCAGGCTACGCCAACCAGCTGTGTCCATGTTTCAGCTGGTAGTCTTTTGTTATCATATGACTCGAGGAGGCGTGAAGTAGGAACTTGTGAGGACCAGGGCTAGGTATTCCGCTCCTTCCAGGTTGTCAACTCACCATTTTGTAGCCATGTCTCCACCCGGATCAATTAACCCCCACCCTCCCCTACAGATTGTTTTGTTTCAAGTCTCAGCTGCAGTGACGAGTGCATAATTTATTTTTATATTTTCAATTTTGCTTTCAGATGACAATGAAGACTCGGAAAAGGCTATGTCAGATGACAGTTTACTGGACAATATGCTACAACAAGGTGCTTCCAAGTAAGTAGCAAAACTGTGAACGTGATTGTTTATGTTAAGTGATTAAAACATCAAATTGAAGCGCGGGTTGCCAGCGAACCAGGAAAACCGGGATATAACCGGGAATTTGAAATGTAACCGGGGAAATAAATAAACCTTATCATACGAACAAATTTTCATGCCACAATTTAAAAAAAAGCTAATAAAACACAGCAAACCTTTACCAAAAGAATAACTTTCTATTTTTGCTGCATAGTTTCCATTAGTTTCCCGTCTTATTTTTTAGAATTTGGTCATTCAGCAATATTTCAAATTGATATTTTGCCCTATGCCAATTTCCGATGTAAAGTGCATTGAATTTTAAAGAAAACATTGAAGATGCTGGATGTGAAAAATACCAAAAAATCTTGATGATAATTAATAGAAAATTCCGAATATAATTCCAAAAGCATCACGAAACGAATTTCTAGAAAATTTTAAGGAAACTGGAAGGAAGCAAAATAGCAGAATAATTTAAAGAGGTCCAAGATAATTCTGAATACAATTGAAAGACAATTCTGAAGGTAAATGTTTGGGAAGTCAAAAGAGAATTAGAGTGATTTTTGAATAAAATTATAGCAGGAATCTTCAATTCCTACAAAATGCTTTAAAATTCAAAGAAAATCTAAAGATAAATTAAACGTTTTTTTATGGATCTACAGAGAATTTCTAAACTGCTATAAATATTTGTTTTAGGGACTCTCGCAGAGAATCTCAATCGTATTTTAAAAGAAGTCTGAAACAAATGCTGGGAAAAGATTCAAAAGGGAATGTTTGAGTATATTCTAATAAGATCTTGAAAAAACAAGTCCAAATTAGACCCAAGAAAAATGCTGCTGTCTTTGTAATGACCCACATAACCTAGTGATCTTGCAACTGTCGGCTTTATATTTAATTTTAATGTTTATCGCACAACCAGAAAAAATTCCAAAATTACAGGCAAAAATCGAGAAAACCAGAAAATATGCTAATCAAAATTCGTTGGTTACGTATAGGAACTTTTCAGAATTCCAAAATCCCAGAATTAAAAGAATGAAGTCTCAGCTATTTGAATTATTTCAAGTTCGGCGTTTTAAATATTTTTTTATAGTTTTGGAATATCCGGCATATTTAACTTTAAATGAAACACCTTAAACCATGAAGATATTTCTAAATCCTGGATCATACAATTTACTAAGCATGAAATCTTTAAAAATCTAAACCTCGAGATTTAAATTTTTTCCCAAACCAATCAACTCTCTAATAAGGAAAATCCCAAAGGTAGATTTTTCTCCTTTAGTTTACTTAAATCTTTGGTTTTTATTAGTTAGGTAGGTTCCGATGCAACACATTGTAGTTTAATTTTTATACCTGTGATCTTGACTTTTATACCTAGGGGATGAGTACTTAAGGGGGTTAGATTTTGATAAGTTCTTTAGTGGGAATGACACTGATGAAGACTACACATTGTAATCGATATACGTATCTGTCATGTATACCAAAATTAATTAAGTGGAATTAAATGGAAGATAGCCTTTTTTTTGCTGTTTTATGCACGTTGTATTCTTCTGAAATTCCCATGGAATTACCATAAGAAGTTCATCTCAGAATTCCTATTAATTCTTTGAAATTCTCCTCATAATTTCCTAGGAAATTTCTTTTAAATTTGTTAAAATTATCACCGAAACATCGTTAGAATACTCGTTCAACGTTTTATTAGAACTATCCTTGGAATTCAGAATTCAATTTTCGTTGGAATTACCTTAAAAATTTCTTTAAAACTCTTATGAATTTTTCAGTATTATTTTTCCTCAAAATGAAAACTTCAAATTAAATTTATTTAAATGCATACATGTTTGAAAATAAAGATTCAGAAAACCTATGTCGCTTTATTCCTTAGAATTTTATAATATGTTATACTATTTTCACTAAGTAGTCAGAACTTATACTACCAAGAACATAAATAACTGAAGGGTACACACGATACTGACTTAGCTCAGTCGGTAATGGTGCTGCTACGAAACAAGTCTATGCTGGAGGAAGCTGGGTTCGATTCCGATTTCGATTTTCCGGGGTGGAACATTTCTCGACTTCTCGACTTACTTGGATGTATGATTGTACACACATAGAAAGCTCTCAATTAAAATGTGGAATCGCTTCAAAAACACTAAGTTGAGAGCAGGTAAACAGCTAATATGCTATGAGCTTGAAATAAAATGTATTTTTAAGTAATGAAAACATTAGTCGCGTATTGGTATTTGAAGTCGCGGATTTCTTTATAAGAAATCGCGGATTTCGTGTATCAAATTTTGAAGATCTTGCTACAGCCCTGTATTTAAAACCCGCCATTACCGAGCGTGGAAAGCTGGATACCTTTCCCTATTATCGTCAGGAGGGAGTTCTTGAGCGCTTATTTTTTGCATCATATTTCAGAGCTTCGAATGGTCAACATCGAGCGCTCAAGTACTTCCCCAACTAGCATTCGGTTTTGTTATGGATTTGAAGTGGTTTAAATATAAGGCTTATAGTGGACTTGGAGACCCTTATTAAACCTGAAATGTTGCTTGGGTTTGTTTATGCCCTGACAATAATAGCTAAAGATTTGGCCGACACTTTCATTTTCCCTATAGAATATGAAGGAAATAAAACAAAGCTAAGGCCTGCCTTGATCGATATTGTCAATGAATTTTTGGATAGATATGGCAACATGATAGATATGAGAGAAGGGTGTACTGAATTGTTCAAAATAAACGGATACAAAATCGTGTTTTCATGCCGACAAGACATGGCTGTTAGTATAATTTCCAATTAGGTTAACGAATGTTTCATTGTATCGATGTTTAAGCAACCACCAATTACAAACGATTTAACATGATTGGTGTTTATCGTCTACCTAGTTATCGCTTCTCCAAGTTTTAAAACAAGCTCGAGTAAAAATTTACTAGTATTGCAAAGTACAAGTGTGTATTTTTGGATGGAGATATGAATGTTCCTATCAATCGTCCATCAAATAAGGTTGTCAAAGTCACACGTGCTTTGAGAGGCAAGATACTTGAACACGTAGTTTTCAGTACACACTGAGATAATTATTCCTACAAATTTCATAAACTACATCGTATGAACGTATGCAAATACGAGCCTGAATCAATTTCATAATTATCTTATGTTTTCATACTCCATCTATAGCATTCATAATTTGATACAACAAAAGGTATACGAAAAACATTAAAATTTCATAAACACATCGTATGAATTATTTTGGTTCCGCTTACGGCAAAAAATCATACGATGATCGTATGAAATTTATTTAAACAGTGCAAATCAAAACAACAACAAAACACAAGATGGCGGATCCAGCTTCAAGACGTGGCGCAAGGCTCCGTAAACCTGTAAGTAAATTTAATTCATATTGTTTCATTGTAGTTTAAAACTTATTTACATTTGTAGACAGTTAAGCAAGCTGCTGTGGACGGGTAAGTGTCAGATATATGTTTTGTTTTTGTGTTGATAATTTAATACAACAGTCAATTTTTTTGAACAGGAATCGGACACGAGTACAAACAAAACTACTCGCAAAATCGTAAGTATAAAGTTTTCAGTTGGCTCGTTATTTTTCACAGTACTGAAGGTAATCCAGCCCCGAGCTAAAAGCCTCCCTAATAAAGAAAACCTAACCTAACTTTACAATTTTTGTTTAAAGAAATTGGAACCACCATCAATATCCAAATCAGCTTTTCTTCCTGCCACAGCTTCAATAATTCAACTGAGATCTTCTATTCCAGCTGTGTTCTAGCAAACAGGGTTGACAGAAAATTACGCTAAAGTGCTGCAGAAAAGAAAGACACTGAAGTCCTTGGAAAATGTAGGGCAAAACAAACAACAAAATTTCTTAAAAAATTTAAACTAATCGGTTTCATTTTCAATCCTCAGCTACCACAAATTGACGAACTGGAAAACCGTTTAAAGCTGCTACTCCAGCTAGCAAAACTGTATCTATTGCTGCAGCTCCACCTTTCCCAATAGCATCAGGGTCGACGACAGTTACCACAGTTACAGAAAACACGAGCTGCCTCGGAGTCTTAATTTAATATATATAATATAATAAATATAATAAATAATTGCTTGGTTTAACGGCTTTCTCAGTCTTAATATCACTCTAAAGACTACGATTTAATATGCCCGACGCTTCAGTCATAGGTTTTAGTTCATTGTCTATGGCCGAAACGTCGGGCAGATTAAATCGTTGTCGTTAGAGTGAGATTAAGACTTAGAAAGCCGTTAAACTAAGCAAATCACTCAAGTACTAGTCGTCACCATCACTAATAAAGTAATTAATTAACTCAAACTATATTTTTCATCCATATCCTTTATGAGTTTCATACGAAATGACAAATGAAATTGTTCGTAATATCCTATGATAGCTATTGTTCGTTTAGATTGAGATTCATAGTTATTTGCATGAAAAATCATACGATGGCTGATTGACAAAAAACTGACAGTTCTTCATAGTTCGGTCGTATGAAATTCAACATAAAATCTTGTCGCAAAAAATCATACGATATTTCTATGAAATTTGTTTGATTAATAATCTCAGTGCAGAAATGGCCTGCTCAAATACCAACGAAACCATCCAAACAGACGCCAGTGATCATTCCATGATAGTGACATCTTTAATATTATAGTATCTTCAGAAAAATAAACTCAACTATTAACGAAGCGAATCATCAGCCATAATCAATTGAATGAACGTTTTTCCATCGCTCTAAGTACTAGTACTGAGTGACTCACTGTTAATGATAAGGTACGTTGTATTGCGTTGCGTTTGTAACGGAGTAATTAGTAGATTGCTTACTGGCAACTGTCATGTATCTACTTTAACGTTATCATTCTGATTGCTTAAGGAAAATTATTTGGGAGTGAACAGCTCTCCAATCAACGTTCAGAACAAGAAAAGCATGACAATTACCATTGCCGGCCACGCCCATCTTCTCCGTTACGGGGAA